ATAAATACTGAGATATATATAAATGTTTATAACATGTAAACATAAAAATACTTTTTTTTGTCTCATTTTATTACAAGCTTCTGAACAAATTGCTATTATCGTCCACACTTCACTATTGTGAAAAATCAGTTTAGAAATAAGCTAGAAAGACACAAGTCAGTTTCAGATTTGAGCATCTCACTTGAGGGTTTTACTGACATATCCTTCAAAGATTTCGATTTCATTCTAATTGCAGTCGGAAGCCAGTGAAGGTATTTAACTAAGAAAAACTTACAATATTTTTAAAGATTAAAATTGTGAAAAAATTTAAAAGACAAAAAAAAAAAACCCCACAAAAACACAAAATCAGGAATTCTTAACAAATCCACTACATCAGAGAGAAGGTCACAACCTTACAAAGCATGCCAGTACATGCTGGAGCCTGGATTTAGATATCAGCATCTCATTCCAGAGTCACAGCTCTACCATTGCCTTATATGCCACAATTTAACTGCAAATCAATTCCATCTAATCACAAACAATCCTTCTAGCAACCTTCTAGCAGCATCCTAGCTCCTTCAGTGACATGAATAACGACCTCAAAGCTGGGGAAAATAAATCCAAAACTTGCATTGATCTTTGGAGACAAAAATCTGCATCTCATTCAAAGTTCAACAGTACTTGAAAGTGGCTCTCAGGCCCAACCCCTAAGCGACAGTGTGACTACTTCTTCCAGTTCAGGATGGCCACCCCAAAATGCGGACTCTCTCGGCACATGAATACTGTTCACTGCAAGGCCCCAAAGCCAGCGCTTCCACACAGCCCAGTAAAACCTCAATGAAACTTATAGCCAACTCCATAATTTTCAAACTGAATGAAATTCGTAACTTCACCCCACAAAAACAGTTTCAAATTTTGTCGGTCTATGCTTGCTATTATATTATTCTCTATACTGCTCTGTACCTTTTTAATTTCTCAAAAAAAAAAAATTGAATTATTAGGACTGTGTGCATGTGTGCATGCATGTGTGTGTGTGTGTTAAGTGGTTATTTACGTGGGGTGTGTGTGTGTGTGTATGTGTGTGTGTTTGTGTTAAGTGGTTATTTACGTGAGTGGGGGGGTATGTGTTGGTGGATGGGTATCTGTAGCAGCAAAGTCAGTTGAGATTTAAATTTTGGTTTCTAGTCTTTTACAAGTTTTGCTAGCATAAGGATGAGGCCTCTGTACAGATAGCTGTACTGGGAGCATTCCAGAAAAACCCCCAGAATGCATCAACCTAAGCTGGAGGGGCTTTGAGATCTAGAATCTGTGGGCCTAGAGGAACTAGAGGGACTTCTAACAATTTCCCATTTACGCTCAAACACAAGGCTCATTTCTATGGGCCCCCAAACCACCAGATCCCACCCCCAGCAGCCTAGAAAACTCTAGAATCAAAGGCTTTCCTCTCCAGAGGACCAACTAACCTTACCAAAGGCAAATCCTGGGACCCTCACAGCTGCTTCTTCACAGGCCCGAGACCCTCACAGCTGCTTCTTTTCCCCCGGTGCATCTAAGACAGGAGCGGAAGCCGAAAGAAGCATTAAGAGCGCAGCTCATTCTACTTCCTGTTTTCAACTCTGAGTCATATAGGGTGCTCTGAATAGCTTCTCCCTCTCAAATGCAAAAGAAAGTTTGTGTGGAACAGGAAATAAAACATTGGGTGGGGAACCTGGTCACCTGAGTTTGGCTCTGTCTATGTGACTTTGGATGGATCATTTTATTTTGGGAGGGTCCTATTACCACATTCCAAAATTAGAAAGTTAGAATGGATGATAACTAAGGATGCTTTCTCGTCATATTTCAGGAATTTACAGATTTTTCTGAATTTATTAAGACTTTAATGTTTTCATTCAATAAATAGTGATTGAACACTTCTGAGAGATTGTGAGGTTTGGAAACTGCAGGACCCTCACCATAGCTCACAAGAGGGTCTGCTGACTCTCATGGCTTCCCTATTGACACTCAAATGCGAGAATCACTTACATGGGCCCCAAGTCCACCAGCTCTTGCCCTGAGAGGCTTAGAAAACCCTAGAATCAATCCAACTGCCCTTATCAAAGAGACAAATCCCAGCACCCTCACCGTGATTTGAAGCTGAGAAATAAAACAGTGGACAAAACGCACATTAGCCTTTCTGCTGTGAGTCAGTTGAAACATTTTCTGATGTAAAAAGTAGAAATATACAAACAAAAAATCAAACACCCCTCTTCTTTGAAACTACCTTTTTTTCCTTCCCCACATGGAATATGAACTTTCAGAAGACAGAGACCCATCTTAGAGCAAAGAAGTTTAAACGTGGTGTCTGAAAGTGCCTCTTCCCTTGTAAAGGGCTAGGTATATGTGCCATGGAAACCCCGATGTCCTTCGCTGCCACCTGATTCTGCTCATAAAGTCTGAACGACAGCAACAGAATAAAATCCTGTTAGTGGCTAAATCCTAGCCCAGGAGGTGTTCTGTGACTCTCGATGCCTCTTGAGCATCCACCGGAGCATTTGTCCGACTGTTTTGTGACTAGTTTCTGTCCTGGGCTGTAAGCTTCATAAGGGCAGAGGCCACATCTTTCACGTTCATGCTCCCAGGACCTGCCATGGGACTACCAATATCTAGAACATTTGAAAGTTTCCTGCAAATCAGCAAGAAAAAGAAACCTTATAGAAGGACAATGGGTACAGACATGGAGTTCCCTGACAAGGATACTCAAATGGCCAAGGCATGTGAAGTGATACTCAAATTCATTGGTAACCTGGGAAATGCAAAATAAAGCAACAAGATACCCACTTTATATCTACCAGATTGGCAGAGGTTCACAAACTGGATCAGTTCAAGGATTGGTGGGCAAGCCCTTATATAGTCCGTATATAGGATTCAGGAGACTGACCATTATGTAGTAGTTAGAAAGTGGAACCAGGTAAAATACATAGAACTTCAAGTACAGAGTGCTTACTTTTAAAAAAAAGAAACAGAACGAGCAAAATATAATACAAGTAATACTAATAAGTATGTAAAAATAATTGCTGACACTTACTGGGCTCATAGTAGCACCAGTTACTGTTGTAAGTGCTTAACCTTGGCATTTCATTAAATCCCCACAACCAACTCAGGAGGTGGTATTAACCCCCGGGGGCACAAAGATGGTACTTGCTTGCTCCAGGTCACATAGTTTAAAAACGGTATATACACGCAAAACAATTTTGCAAAGATACAGATCAATTCAGGGATACTATCAAAAGATTTAAAGAATTGTCTTTTGGAAACCACCAAGGAGAGTAGGAAGTGGGTGAGTTGATCAAAGAAAGGACCTAGGACAGGTCAGGGGAAGAAGCGGGCTGTGGGCCTTGGAGACCAAGGACCACAGGGCATCAGGCTCTGACAGAAGGATTCACTCAGCCCTCTGGGCCAAATGGAAAAGAAAACGAACATAAGTAGGTAAATAAAGTATTATGGAATCTCCGAACTGATCCAGCAGGAGAGAGACACTGTATCTATATTTGAGGCCACTGAGAGATTGGAGGAGACTCAGAAATGTAGCAGACAAACCAGAGATTTCTAGAGTTAAGGAGCAATGCCTGTGGTGGTAGTTCAGAGAGAAACTGCACTAGATAAACTGGCAGGTCCGAGCTGTCCCCCAAGCAAGTCCAGGAAACGCAGTATCCAGAAGCCACCTCTGCACCAGGCACTCACCTGCTCCACCCTGTCCCGGCCACATCGCAGTCACCAAGTCCCCCGATGCCAAGACCCCTAAACTGCCTGATTTCACATGCTTACACTCCTAAGGCTTATCCTCACAACCAGAGAAAAATTCCTTAAAACAGAGTGGGGAGGAAGAGGTAGAGACGGAAACCCTCCAGGAAGTTTTCTTTCACTTTCTACCGTTCCACCAGGCAGAAGAGCCTCCTCCAGGGGACTCACTTCCTGTTTCTCTATTCTCCACATTTAGAATTTACTAGCAAATTCAGCAGGGCTTTTTAAAAAAATCACAGGAGACAAAAGAATTGTGAAAACATTGCCTTGCAGCAGAAGGGAGGAATCTGGTGTTCAGCAAGAGATTAAGAAAATTCCTCAACAGAAGGAACTAGAGAATAAACTCATTCTTAAAACGGGAGAACAGAGGACTCGCTCTAAAATGAAATGTCTCTTATTTAAAGGAACAGATGCCCAATTCAGAAATTAGTCATCTGTTTGTCCACACGCAAACTAAAAATCAGGAAACTAGATGTGCTTTATTGGAAATTATTTATGCTGACTACATTTAGTATTAATAACCCCGTAATTTTTTAAAGATAGGCTTCAGACTGCCTGTGGCAAGTAAAATGCCATTCTCCCTTGAAAGGGGTCTAAAGAAAGGAATTAGCCCTCTGTGCAGTGGCTTGAATCTCAGCACTGAAGCCAGATGGTATGGCAGGGGCTCTTCTTGGGTCAAAGCAGGCCTCTAGCAGAAATGTGGGGAGATCCTGCTTTAAAAAGTGGGAGGTGGGTCTGGCCCAGCCCTGAGTAAGGGTAATGAGGACGCTGTTCACATCCCTGGCCATGCTCTTAGTTTGGTAGCAACCAGTGCCTGTCCAATGCTGAGCCCAGAGAGATGGTGATCTGTCCCCCAGGACCCTGAGCCCTAGGTTCCCCCTCTCCCAGCTTTTCTTCATCTTCTGTCCCCTCCCCACCCTCTTCCTCTGTTTCCTGTTTCAATTTTGTAAAGAGTTTTCTGCCCTTTTGTTTTCACATCTTATACATTTTATAACCAAAACACTGACAATAATACAGTGCCTAGATGTTGTACCTTCGTACGAATTAGCTCTAATTCTCGCAGCAGTGCAAGAGCTTGTTCTTCCCTGTTATGGGTTAGGAAACAGGCTCAAACAGATCCATAAATTCAAACTCAGTTCTGTTGGGCCAGACACAGGATATTTCCACTATAACACCTTAGTCCCCTTTCAAAATTAGGATTTGAAATAAACCATGTGGCTGTAAGAGCAATAAATTTAAACTAAGACAGGGTGACTTATGCATAAAGGTCAACAGATCTTTGGATTCTTGGTCACCTAAGAAAAAGAAGGTGGCCTAATGGCACCAGCCAACATTTATCAAACGTGTTATGCATGTCAGACACAGTCACCAAAACTGGTTCATTACATCTTCTGAGGAATTCTCAGAAGTGGATGCTACTTTTGCTCTCATTTTATGGATGATGAAACTATGGCTTGTAGAGGTTGAAAGACTTGGCCAAGTGAGCTAGTGAGTGACAGAATGAGGTCTGTTTTTCTCTAAGACTCTGAGTGGTTACTCACCATGTAAACATTAATACAACATCCATGGTTCTCAACTTGACTGATCTGAGAATTCACTGGGGAGGTTTGAAAAAGTCAGACTTCAGGACCTAGTTTTTGAATTCCTACCTGAGCAGAATTCTGGGAGATAAAACAGATTGAGCGCTTAGAGTAGTACCAGGGCCTTTGACAGTTCTCAGTAAATATTCGCCATCATTGTTACTTAAGCTCACAACATCTGTAAGATGGCTATGAATTATTAGACATAGTGTACAGATGAGGAAACTAAGTTCTGTGTCAATCGGCTGACAAATGGCAGGTCCAGCAAATGAACTCAGGATTATCTAACTCAAGAGTTTATGCTCCTCCCCCAATCTGCACCCAGGCCCACCCGGCAAAAACAGATGAGCCACTGGAAGTGTGAAAATTAATAAACAGAAAACACATTTAAAATAGAGTTGGGAGGCTAGAAGAGAGAACTCTCAGGGACGTGCCACTCACCGTACAACAGGAAGAGATGTACCTTGCATCTCCAACAGGAAGTGACAATACATTACTACCTCAGAAGAAGGAAGAAAAGATTTCTCCTTGCCCAGTAACAGCATAGCCAATGGGAGACAGCCATAATTCAGCCAATGTAAAGTCAACATACTTCTAACTTTCAGTTTCCTTAGACAGTCCTATACCAGCCCCTCCCAAGTCCATAAAAGAGTGTTGCTCTTCTTCGTTCACTGGACTTTCACACAGTATGCCATCAGACCACATGTCCTAAATTTCAATTCTTTGTTTTTCTTGAATAAAATCATTTTGCTGGAGAAATATCTAGCTATTAGTCAAAGGTCAACAGAGACACCCAACGGGCTGTGCTGTGGATGGGTGCATGTGTGCGTGGGGGAGTGTCTCAGGGCTTCAATTTGTCATTTGTAAGGTATTAATCCCAGACTCTCCCAGTCTTAGCTCTTTTTAAAAAGGAAGATGAATAATTAACAAGTGAATAGTGAACCTCAGGTTGATAAAATTCCTATTGTGATCTAGAAGGATCATTATTAATTCACTTGCTCTAAACTGGTTTTTTGCCTCCATCTTGAGATATATGTCTATTTGTATCGAAATGAATGATATAGGTGGCCTTTAGTCTCAGGGAAGCTGGAAGACCTGGAGGTGTGGCAGTAGCAGCAGGACATAGGAAAGGTGGTCTCTGCCAAGTGCAGGGTGAGGATGCTTGGCTTGACTTACCCACCAAGTGGTTTCCGCCCCTCCTGAATCTCAGCTCCCACCTGAAGGCCTGCTCTGGAGACTCGCATCTACTGAACTGCTAAGCAGATTTGGATCTGTGAGTCTCCGTAAGAAAGCCGAGAAGGACTAAACCTTTTCTCATCTCACTGCAGCACATCCTTCTCACTGATCAGGATTTGAACCACAGGACATTAGTCAAGGAAAAATACTGACAGTGAAACAAAAATCTTCTGAATGTGCATGTTCTTTGTTTGTTGCTTCTTCATTAAGTTGTAATAACTGACCCACAGGCCAGGTGGTCTCCTTTGTGGTTCGATCACCCCACCCCCATCCCTTCATTGACTCTTGCAGTTGGCCTTGGCTCCAGCCTTAGACTTCCTCCAGGAAGTGGTGAGGGAAAGAAAAATAAATTGTATTCCAGTCGATCTATTTCATTTCTTCCTGGGCCTTGCAGGGAGAGACTTAACTAGTTGTCTAAAAGTTCTTAACTTTTGAGATTTTAAGTTTTTTGAATTTTGCTTTGGTTGAGATAATTAGACAGTCACAGGCAAATAGAGGAGGTTATAGTCACTGACTTCAACATGTATGTTCTGCCACTTGCTGGTTGCCAGTACCTGCCCCCTCTACTCTCTCAAAAAGAAAATGCAAACTAGGACCCATACCACTGATCTAGAAAGGAGGAAGCTGAAGTAATTGTTGGGCTGAGATGCCCATAATCATGTCACCAATCTAGCTTTTTCAATATTTTCTTAAGTTCTGAACATAGACACAGTGAGGGTCCTTCAGGTTCTTGCTTTACGATATGTCCCTACCCAAGAAATGAGGGACCTCAAACCGTAAGGACTAGTGTCAAGAGTCATTAAAAATTTTTATCATGGTAAAATATACATAACATAAATTTTATCATTCTAACCACTTTTAAATAGATACTTCAGTGACATTAAGTACATTCATGCTATTGTGCAACCATCACCATGATCCAAGAGCCCCTTTTAATGATATAAGAATAAATTTGTTAAACATGATACAGTTTTAAAGCATTTCCCTAAAACTAAAAAAAAAAAAAAAAAAGCAAGCATTTCCCTATTTTATCTTATTTGACCCTCACTGGTAACCACATTTTTTAGCCTTGGACAGGCAGGGAAGATGTTATGAAGACATTTAGGAAACTAAAACTCAAAGAGGTGAAGTGACTGAGCTGAGAGAAAGGATAGTCTTTTCATGAGATAGAAACTGGCACAACTGAATATCCACGAGTAAAACAAAACACAAACAAACTAGACTCTGACTATAAAACTTTCACAAAAATGAACTCACAATGGATCTCAGATATAAATGTGAAACACAAATTTCTTAGTGTGGTTCCATAGTGTCGTGGTTAGCGTATCTGCTTTACATGCAGAAGGTCCTGGGTTCGAGCCCCAGTGGAGCCATAATCCATGGTCTACAGCCATGCCACCCTGAACAAGCCTAATGTCTGATCTCGGAAGCTAAGCAGGGTTGGGCCTGGTTAGTACTTAGATGGAAGACCATCTAAGAAGACCAAGTGCTGTAGGCATAAAAAAAAATTTTTTTTAATTAAAATTCTGAAGCTTCTAGAAGGTAACCCAGGTGACCTTGGGTTATAACACTAAAAACACAACCCATTAAAGAAATAATCAAAAAGTTGAAATTTATTAAAATTAAAAACTTTTGTTAGTCAAAAGATACAAAAGAGAATAAAGAGAAAAGCCACAGATTGGGAGAAAATATTTTCAAAAGACACAGTTGATAAAGGACTATTATCTTTAAAACTCAACAGTTAGAAAACAACAACCCACTTATAAAGTGGGCAAAATATCCGAACAAACACTTCACTAAAAAGACATACCGATGCGAAAAAGCATATGAAAAGATGCTCAAGGTTGTATGTTATTAAGGAACTGCAAATTAAAACAATAATGAAACATTACTATATACCTTCTAGAATCAATAAAATTCAAAACACTAACAACACCAGATGCTTGTGAGAATGTGGAGCTACAGGAACTCTCATTCACTGCTGGTGGGAATAAAAAATGGTGCAGTCACTTTGGAAGACAGTTTGGTAATTTCTCACAAAACTAAACATACTTTTACTATACCATGCAGCAATTATGCTCCTTGGTACTTACTCAAATGAGTTGAAAATGTATGTCCACACACAAAAACCTGCACATAAATGCTTATAGCTGCTTTATTTGTAATTCATAATTGCTAAAACTTGGATGCAATCAAGACGTCTTTCAGTAGATGAATGGATAAGTAAACTGTGGTACATCCATACTGTGGAATATTATTCAGCACTAAAAAGAAATGAACTATTCAGCCATGAAAAGATATGGAGGAACCTTTAAGTGAAAGAAGTCAATCTGAGAAGGCTACGTGTTATATGATTCCAACTATATGACATTCTGGAAAAGGCAAAAATGCAGAGACAGTAAAAAGATCAGTGGTTGCCAGAAGTTAGGGGAGTGAGGGTGAGTAGGTGGAACACAGGGGATTTTTAGGGCAGTGAAACTATTCTGTATGATACTGTAATGGTGGATACTTGACATTTTGCATTTGGCAAAATAAACAGAACTACAATGTAAAGAGTGAATGCCAGTGTAAACTATGGACTTCAGTTAATAATAATAATGTATCAATATTGGTTCATCAGTTGCAACAAATATACCACACTAATGCAAGATGTTAATAAAAGAGAAAAGTTAGTGGTATATAGCAACTCTACTTCCTGCTCAGCTTTTCTGTAAATTTAAAACTACTTTAAAAAATAAAGTCTATTACTTATTTAAAAAGCTCTTCACTTCTCCCAAGAAGACATACGAATGGCCAACAAACATGTGAAAAGATGCTCAACATCACTAGCTATTAGGGAAATGCAAATCAAAACCAAAATGAGCTACCGTCTCACACCTAGTAGAATAACTGTTATCAATAAGACAAATAATAACAAGTGTTGGAGAGGATGTGGAGAAAAAGGAACCCTCATACACTGCTGATGGGACTGTCAATTGGTATAGCCACTATGGAAAATAGTATGGAGGTTCCTCAAAAAACTAAGAATTGATCTACCATATGACTCAGCAATCCCTCTACTGGGTATTTACCCATATCCGAAAACCCATATATATTCATAGCAGCATTATTCACAGTGGCCAGGATATGGTAGCAACCGAAGCGTCCAACTATAGATGATTGGCTAAAGAAGCTGTGGTACATATATACAATGGAATATTACTCAGCCATAAGAAGAGATGAAATACTACCATTTGTGACAACATGGATGGACCTCAAGATAATCATGCTAAGCAAAATAAACCAGACAGAAAAAGTTGAAAACCACATGATATCACTTATACGTGAGATATAAACCTAAAAGCAACAAACGAACAGGACAAACAGAGACTCATGGACATGTACAATTGACTAGTGGTTACCAGAGGGTAAGGGGGAAGAGGAGGGAGTAGGTAGATGGGGTCAGGGGTTAAATATGTGGTGACAGAAAGAAATCTAACTATGGGCGGTGAACACACAATGCAGTGTATATATATGCCTTACTGTGGAATCGTACACTTGAAACTTACTGGATTTCGTTAACCAATGTCGCCATAAAAAAAAAAAGAGAGAGAGACAAAAAAGAAAAAAAAGAAAGAGCTCTTACACATGCAGTATTACCTGATTAATAGATAAAGATGATGCTGCAGTGAAATGGGGGGAAAAAAGGATGGTCTTTATAATAAATAATGAAAAATAAATTGCATAGTCATATAAAAGTAAAATGAACCTTTATCTCCTACCCACAGAAAATTCAAACCCAGACGGATGATAAATATAAAAAGGAAAGCAACAAAGCTTTTGTAAGAAACCCTAAGAGAATGTTTTCATGATGTTAGAATAGACAAAACTCTTCAACAGGTCACAAAAAGTGCTAACCGTAAGGCAAAAAATGATCAGCTGGACTGCATTAGAATGAAGAGCTTCTGTTCAACAGATGAGACCATTAAGAGAGAAAAAACGCAGGCCAGAGAACAAAAGACATGTTATGACATGGAGCAATCTTCAGGATGTGTTGGTAAATGAGAAGGGGTGTTGCAGAGCAGCATCACTAGAATGATAAAGAGAAACATGCAGGGCCACCACCGGAAATCACAGGATGGCGCCCGTCTGCATTTCAGCTCCTTTAATATCGTGGATCCATACCACCAAGGTGAAAAAACCTTCAAATGATTTTCTGAAGGAAAATATGCTTCTTGTTTTGAAGTGGGTATTAACTGAAAGACGCAGACTGAAAACCTAAACTGATAATGTTGCCGCGTGGGATCGTCCATGACAGCCGCCTCGGTCAGCCATGTCCCCACCAGATCTGATCAAACATTCACTCGGCACACAAGCTGGTTACACACCAGAGCTCCCTTAAGCAGGACCTTAACACAGCCCAGCATCGTCAACCCATAAGGTAAGGTTCCCCCGACCTTCTTGTCCTACATTTCCTATTATAGTGTTCTAAATATTTTTCTTTATCTTGTTAATTATTTAAACAGTAGGAAAAAAGAGATAATTAACAACCATGACTAAGGAAGTAGTCATGGAGCTCAAAAATTGAGGCTGTTATTTATTAATAGGTTGTGCTAATAGGTTAGCTTTTGGTTGACTGCAAGAGAAACTTGTAATCTATATATATTCAGTTAAAAGAAAAGTATCACCTGGACGCCACCAGCCTAGACAATTCTAGAAACAAACTGGCTCCTTCCTAGAAGCCTAAATAAATCTTACCAGAGGGCAAATACAGATGCTTTTTTTCTGGGATGTGTTCTTGCCAAGAAACGCCTTCCAAAATGTAATGAAAGTCAGATGAAGAACATTTTGCTATCGTTCCTATGAACACAACTTCTGGAATTTCCACAAGCAGAACAGACTCGTCAAATCAGGGTGAGAGGGTGGGGCTCTGAGGCGGAAATAAGACATGCCATTTTCCGTACCATGGTCGCATGACAGGCCATGCTGCAGAGAGGACAGAGCGCAGGCCGAGAAATAAGGTACCCAGGCTTGGTCAATTTAACTAACATTCCAAAATGAGAGAGTTAGATTAGACAGACAATCTCCAAGATTATTTTCAGTTCAAATATTTCATGAGAGTATGATGATGTGCTTTTTTCCTTTAGGGTTTTAATTTCTTTTTCTTCCAGGAGTCCAGTTAGGACATTCATTCATTCATTCTAGTTAGGACTTTGTTGAATCATAAGAGGATCCAAGCCAGGAGATAAGGGTTCACCAGCCTGGTGTGGGGGGTGTGGATAAAAGGTGCTATCCTTGCTTATGTACAGAACAGACTGCCCACATAAGGTCGATATGGAAAAGAGCCTCCAATTGACAGGACATGAGCAGCTTCGGGCCTGTGAGCTTGGTTATGGGGAAGGGAGAGGTGGAGATCTAGCCCCTCTCTCTCCTACAGAGTAGCCTGAGTGTTTTTCACATCACCAAATTCATTGATTCGCCTATCCCAGGAAGATGCCCCCACCCGATATTTGACAAACTGCTGGATGCGTCACCCGCTACCTGACTCTACAGATAAACATCTGATTGCGCTGCTGATGAATACTACAAATGGACATTTCTCTAAATACAGACCTTTCTGGTACCTCAGCTATCTCAACCTTATTATTCTGGATCCAATGTGGGGCCGCAACTGGACTCTGACAATGCAAGAGCAAATGCCCTCCTAGGTGTCAACTTGTTCCTGTTGGAGATAGGGACAACTGGAACATCTGAACAAAGGGACATGGGAGCCCAACACTGGGGCCATTTTGACCTCAGTAGTGAAAGACTTTCCTCCCTTACACTTGGCCCCACCTTACACAGACTTTTCAATTCTACTCAAGGACCTTGCACACTGGGAGTGACTTCTGGCTGGTAGACCCCCATGGTAGCAATGACTTACACTCTCAGTGCTGTGCGTGCCCCTTTGGAGTGTTATTTGTTTTGTAAAAACAGGCCTTCACTTGCCTTCCTCTTAGCAATGTAATGCATATAGATGGGGCTTTAATAAGAGACTTCCAAATATTCAAAACAGTCCCCACCCATTTGTCATGTCACGCTACACCGGGTAGGATGGGAAATAGGAAACCAGGGGGACCCCAGTTCCTCAGGAGAACTGCCAGGGGGCATTACCAACTCCAGGGAATTATTTCCACTGTCAAGTTCTTTTGGTTAGAAAGGGTTGTGTGCAACCTGACTTTGACCCTTGCTGAAGTATGAATACTTGCATGAAGTATTCATGGCAATACTTCGGCTTTGGAGAAACAACAGACCAACCTTAAGTCCTTGGCCCAAGCAGTGTTGGACACCTGCATAGCCCTCGACTTCCTGCAACCAGCCACGTTGGCATCCATGTGATTGCTGACACTTGCATGGCACCTGGATCAATGAGACTGGCAAAGTAAAACAATCCATCACCAGGCTTAGGTAAACAGCCTCTTGGATCTCTAAAGTAGACCTGTATGGACTATCAGACATCTTTTCCTGACCTGGCAATCATTGGGGCTCATGGTTATGTTCAATCTTCCATGCTGGTCTAATCATCCTACTATAGACTGTGACCTCAGACTAATTACCTGATTCTTGACAGTCTCTCAAAGTCTGATTCATTCAGTTCCATGATAGGATTTCTCCTTTGGGCTCTGAAAAAGCAAACAATGGAGTTGAGACTCTGGCTCCAGGCCAGAATCTTATGTGTAACCAACCTTTCAGGCCCAGCCACAGGCAATTCCAAAGGCTTTACCTGGCCTACTTCACAGGTAAGCTGCCCTTTCCACATCAGATATACATGTTAAAGTGACTTGTTAAGTTGTCTAACTTATTAAATTGTCCAGGCCCTCCAGTATAGTGTGGAACAACGCATTATTAATAACAGACAATTTTATCATGTTTTTGAGTTTAATGAGAATATTTACAAAGTTTGCCTAATAAGTATGATTTTTGATTTCGGTTTCTGGTAGATATTTTTATCAAGCTGAAGACTCTTCCTTCCATTAACTCCCCAGCATTTTTTTTAAAAAATCAGGAAGGAGTGTTAAGTTATAAAATAATTTTTCCATAATCTTTTGAGATGATTATAGGATTTCTTAAAAGTAATCTGTCTCAGTTTCTCAGAAGTAAATTGCTTGAATTGTTCTTGTGGATTCAGGGTTATGTGCACCTCACCAAATTAGCCAGGAAATGTCTTTTTCTATGTTCTGTAACTGCTTCAGTAACAGAAATTTTCTTGTGTATAAATTGACAGTTCCACCTATTTTTGTCACTTATTAAGTGGATATGGGGTTTGGTCTTTTTATGTATATAAATTCTTGATATCGATTTCTTAAACTTTGATTTATTTCCTTTATCATATATATTTTTCCAATTCTGTTGTTTTCTTTTGCTTTATTTGTAAGAGAGAGTGAGAATGTGTGTTTTTAATTTCTTGGATATTCAAATGTATCTATTTTATTTCCAGTATTCATCTCGATTTGGTCAATAGTGAGGTATACCAAAATGTTTCATCTTTAAAAAAAAATTTCTTTCTATATTCCTCTGTCAGTTTCTCAAACTGCTTTTAGCCTGAATAGGTCTTTCTCACATAGAGGTAAGAAATTCAATAAATGTGTTTGTTTTATTTGTTCTTTATTTTAAATTTAAATGTCTGACCCAATGAATTAATTTTGTCGAACAATGGAACGTGAAGTTCTAACATGAGTTTTTGTCCAAGTGGTTAACCAGTTTTCCCAGCAGCACTTATTTAACATTCCCAAATTCATTGTTGATTTGTAAGACCCCCTTTGCCTGTGTCATATGTCTGTGTATTAGGGACAATTTCTGGGCTCTCTGCTCTGTTCCACTTTTCTGTTCATGTGTTTCTCTCAGCAAATGTACACCTTAATTATTACAAATGTATATTTTATCTGGTCAACAGAGATTGGAAAACTAATTGTTTTTTTCCTGTATTCTTTCCGACCGCCCCCCGCCGCTTTACATGGCCAGCATAAGCTGTTTCACCAGGTAAAATAAAAGAAATAAAAGAAAATGAGAGATAGTGAATGGGTCTTAAAATTCTTTGTTCTTGAAGAATTTTAAGAAGGGCAAGAGTATTTCTGGGTCAGATCTACATCCCTGAATTTCTTCGATTTGTTTGGCTTATGAGACATCGAAGGTCTAGGCCTTCCCTCCTGTATGCTAGAAATGGCCTGTCTTCAATAACATGGGTACTTCAAAAATATCTATGAAATAATTTGAGAATGCTTATTTATAAACTCATCTCTCAGAAGGGCATGAGGGACAGGTGAACAGGTAACTAAAAGGGATTAAAAGTCCCCCGAATGCTCTAAGACTAGAGTCTCACTGGTATTGGAAAGAAGGGCAGAGAAAGAGCCAGGTTTCCTGAGCTTGGTTTCATTCATCAACAGATAAGTGCTATGCCAGGTTGTATCTGAAGCCACCAGGAATAGGGTCAAAAGCTTCACAATTCCGCTGCAGTGGGAGCTTCTCAAGAGCAAGCTCACAGACAATGGGGTAGTGATTGCCCATCACCAGTGACACCTGAACTGGGAGGATTCTCTTGCTTGAAAAGGGTGGAAAAGTCAGAGGGGAAGGGAAACTGAAAGAAGTGATCACTGAGAGAAAAGCCAGTCAACCCAAAGCACAATCAGCCCAAGGGACCAGAGAATTAAGGCGGAAACATATTAGAAAAGTAAGCTGATAGGTATCTATGAACTCTTAAAAAGATTTGTTATTATATCAAAAAGTAAAAGTTCAGGCAACAAAATATAGAAATTAGATGAAGGTACTTAATAGTTGAAGAAAAATGCATTTCAGAAGAGTAAAGAGAATACAAGTTTAGCGCCTCCTGTGCTGGGAGTGAGAGTGACTACTCCTTAAAATCATCTCATCAAAAAAAAAAAAAAAAAATCAGAAACTTTAAGTGACGTCCCACATATTCAAGGCATATTTCTTCAAATAGACCAAGTTCTCTGTTTGTCCCCAAAGATGCCCCAAGTCTTCTCAGGGCTCTTTTCTATAGCACCTCAACTGTAGCTCAGCTTTTGGTCCCTGATAAAATCGTGCTGTTGTACCTAGCTTTTTCTCTTTTGACCCCTGTTATTTTTTGTCCCAACTTGGAATACTTTCTCCGTTTGATACTCCAAAGTGCGAATCCGCACAATGCTGTCCATTTCCTCCAGGAAACCCACCCTGACCACACCATCTTTTGTCCAAATTCTTCTTACATAGTTAGTCAGGACCCCACAGCTGATCTCCCTTTGCCCGCAGGCTGTTCCCAAAGTTTTTGTCCAAGTTGTTTGATAAGAATACAAAATACCTCTTTCCACTATTGCCCAGGCTAGCCTTTCAACTCGAGTGATTCCTGACATCAAAGGCCGTTGCTTAATTATCGTACAAAGCTGGCCCACAGGCGGCACTGGCACAGAACCAAAACTACTACTTTCAACTCTTAACTTCTGTCTTTCTGAGCCAGGATGAAGCCAGAGATAGAACGATTGTAAACTAATCACTTTACGAACTGGCATGCTTTCTTGGTGAAAGAATGTACTTGGTAAAAGAAATGAGACCCCTGGTATGGAGAAGAAAAAAGGAAATGAAAAAACTGTCTAAAAAATCAAAGCGATTCAAGCTGTACATTTACGACTCTTGTGCATTCTTCAGTACTTATGTACTATTTCAATTAAAAGGTTACACACACAAAAAAAACCAATATGACTCTTTCAGTCTCCTGACTTTCTGTTTTTCCTCCTAGGCCTTTCTAGATATTTTAATAAAGATAGAGAAAAGGATCCTACCAGAGAAAAGAAAGCTATACATATTGAGAAGACTTTAAATGATTAAGAATCTGATGAAGAAAGTCAAAGACTCCAAAGATTTAAGTAGAGGATAGAAATAACTGACACCTTTTCAGCTAAATTTACTTTTCCATTGAAAAATCATGTCACAACATTCTTCTTGTCTGCTTTGTGTCCTTTTTTGTATTTTAATTCAGAGGGAAGAACATGCCCTGAGAGAAATCTACACGAGCTTCCATGCTTTATTTACCATCTTCATCCCTCACCTCTACACCCATATTTCACCATTCACTTCTTAATAGCCATGCCTTACAGAAGAGAAGTTCAGGACCTGTTTTTGGTTTGTTTGTTTGTTTATTTGTTTGTTTGTTTGTTTTCTATGGAGGAAAGTTTGGGGTTGTTGAAAAAGCCAAGGCCCATCAGTGTAATTTAGGTTAGTTGCAAATAGGCATGTCTCCCCTCCAACTTGGGGGCTTGCTAAATTCCTTCAGCTGTCAAATAATTAAAACAAAGAGTTTGTTTGTTACAAGTGTCTTAAATCTGCTCCAGATTATTTGCATTTATTAATCGAATATGCTGGTTCAAAATATATCTCAAAATGACCTCAATTAAAAAAACAATCTGCCATTTGAGTCTGAGGCCTTTTGACTACAGTATATATTTCTTCTCTGGCCCTCCTCCCAAATAAGGACGGGGGTCTCCCTCACCTCCCTGGGACCTCAGCTCCCCACCCATCTGCCTGCACCACCTGTGCATGTTTCAGCCAAATCAGACAGTCACTATTCTTGACTAGGAATCCTGTCTAGGTTCCTGTCTCTCTCCCACCCACAACAATTAAACCTTAACAACCTTTATTCAAAACTTTTATCATTAAAGTTTTTTCTTAAAAAAAAAAAAAAGAAATAAAAGCATTATATACCTCAAATGATTTCAAAAATGTCAAAAAGAAGAATAAGAAATATGAAGTTCAGCAGTAAGGCCTTTATCCATAGGCATCGTCCTTAGGTATATGTGTATTGTAAAAACTAATGGATCATAATGCGTATGGAGTCTTACGTCAATTTTCTCCCCGAATTTCACTCCAGCCTCCTTTCCCTCTACCTCCTTTAAAGACTAACCCTGCGCAGAGTCCATTTTGCCAGCTTCTTCCTTCTCGCCTCACCTGCGCTGGCCTCATCTGCTCGACTGGAGCAGAGAGGATTTTTGAATCGAATTTTCAAATGTTGACTTGCTGCCCTCTGGTGAGTTTATTAAACATTTATCTCACATGTAGAGGAATTTGCTCTGGCAATGACCACTGACATAAAATACCTGTGGTTTTGAGGTATAAATCTTCCTCTGGGTAATAGGATATCTGATTTCATCTGGCTAGGAAGTTATTATTAGCCTAGACAACAGGAAAATGTCTGGAAAATATCCATTATTTGGAAACTAAATAACATACTTCTAAATAATCCATGGGTCAAAAAAAAAAAATCAAAAGGAAATTAGGTAGTATTCTGAATTGAATTAAAATGAAAACAAAACATATCAAAAATGTGTGGGATGTCACTAAAGCGGTACTTAATTTTATAGCACTAAATGCCTAAAAGAAGCAGGAGCGAGAGGGACAGGAGGGCAGGATCAACAAGGGCATAAGAAAAGTTTTGGAGGTAATGGCTATGTTTACTATCCTGACTGAAGTGATGATTTCACATGTATGTACGTATATGTTAAAATGTATCAAATTATGTACTTTAAGTATGTGCCATTTGTTGTTTATTAATTATACCTCAGTAAAACTGTTTTAAACAGACATGTGGCTAGTGGCTACATTATTGGACAGTACAGTTCTAAAGCAACCACCGAAAGGAAACTAGAAGAATGTATAAATTAACAAGCTAGTAAAAGGGTAAAATGGACTTACAAAAAATTATTTAATTCATCTAAAGGAAGTCAAAGAAGTAGAGAAAAGTGAACTAGTGCCACGAATAGAAGACTAGAAAAATATTATATTTAAACCCAATTATATCAATAATTACACTAAACAAAAATGAACTAAATATTCTCATTTTAAGAAATGAGACTTACCAGGCTGGATTTTGTAAAACAAACAAATGAAAAACCCACAATACACTGCTCACAACAGACACATTTCAAGTGTAAGGACAACAGACACACTGAAAATATAAGATGAAAAAAGATATATCAACTGGTATCATCATACTAATATCCAACAAAGTAGACGTAAAGCAAAGTGATCAGAACCAAAATGAGAAACAATCCACAATCTTAGTATAAGGTATTTATGCACCTGTCGCAGTAACTGACAGGACAAAGGGAAGAAGCAGTAGAGCTATAGATTTGAGTAACACATTTAATGACTTCACCTAAAAAACAAAATTGATTAATCAAAAGATAGAAATATAAGCATTTTACATATAAATGCAGAATTAAATGTCAGAAGAAACAGCTTTACATGTTCAGAATGGTACAACAGGAAGAAGGACTGAGTATGGGGATTGTGGGATTTCTCACTGGCAAACAAATACTGTTGTCTCTTCTTCCAGTGATACACTCCTGTGTCCAACAAGGAAAACCACCAACTGTCTGTCAATTGTTTATAGTCTGTTCTGTTCCCACACTTCCTAATATTCCCAGATTGAAAAAGTACATGTGCAGTGCAACTCGGATATAAAAGAATTCCTTATTATTATCCTAGAAATCACTCATCTCTAACCAAGGCTTATTCCAGAACTTTCCCTAAAGAGTCTGGGCTTCTATAGCTGAATCATCAGCTGGGTACTTCAGGTGCTGTCTTTCAGAGCAGCCTGGCCTTCACAATGAATGGCATTAAGTTGCCCACTTCAGTCATTCCCGGATGACTTTGACAACTTGTATCTTATTTCCTATTTACTTGTTCTTTTATTTGTCTCATCTGATTCACTTTCTTTACTTAAATAAAAATTTACATAAACACATGTTCTTAAGAAAGGGAATTTTATGTCGCTACCATAAATGGAAGAGCATTACATTTGCTACTAAAGAGGAATTGTAAAAATAAATAAAATAAAAATGGAACACTGTTACTAAGTTCTAGCTAAATACTATTGCCTACTCTCATTTGTCAAAAAGGGAAGTTAGTGTGTTTTGAGACACAGTAAAGATATGTTAGCACTGATAGTGGATTTTCCCCCGGTTAAGAGAATTGTATAGAGAATAACTTTTCACTATGTTATCCATCGTTGTTTAATGCATGTCTCTGTACCACCCATAATCACCAGTGGTACCTCCTCTGTGGAAAGATCCCACACTATTGGGGAACATTGTATTAGCTCATAGCACAAACATCAAGAACTTAACTAAATATTGCTTCCCTCTGTGCATACAAAGGCTGCAGGGAACAACAGTGGACTGATAACTGAAGGGAGGGTGGGTAGATCCCAACTGGCCCCTGCTCCAGTCAGCCCATTGGTGTCTGAACTGAGCTCAGCAGTGGTGCTCACCTTTTCTCTTCCCCATGACCTCTGAAAATTCCAGACTACCTCAAAATTCCCAAGATTCGAGTGGCCAACTATGCTCAGGCTGCCCAGGGCCAACCCCTCACAGCCTGAAAGTGAACGTAGCCCAGGGACTGTTCTTAGAAGGAAGAGAGATGACGGTAAGTTGAAAACCAATGTCAGCACCTCTGGCTTAGCTCTTCCTCCACTGACACCTTGACCTACAGCCCTTAGCCTCTTGGGGAGAGATCTAAAGTTGCTGGGCAGTTACCAGGATCAGCATGCCAGAAGATACTTAGGGAAAGGGGCCTAGCCCTGCCCAGGGCCAACCCCTCACAGCCTGAAAGTGAATGTAGCCCAGGGACTGTTCTTAGAAGGAAGGAGAGATGATGGTAAGTTGAAAACCAATGTCAGCGCCTCTGGCTTGGCTCTTCCTCCACTGACACCTTGACCTGCAGCCCTTAGCCTCTTGGGGAGAGACCTAAAGTTGCTGGGCAGTTACCGGGATCAGCCTGCCAGAAGATACTTAGGGAAAGGGGCCTAGCTCTTTACTATCTGGAAAGCAGCTGGATGTGGTGGATAGAGCTTGGACTTTGGGATCAGATAGATCTGAAGTCAAATCCTAGCTCTGCCTCTTGCTGAGGATCTAGATACCTTCCTTTGCTTCCTTTTCTTTGCAGAGCCTTGGTCTTTTCACGTGGAAAATGATGACTACTTGATAAGGCTGCTGTAGGGAGCTGAGTAAAGCAATAAACTGGTGCTTGCACTTGTCACCTTACAGAGAGCAGGTGCTTCATAAATGCTAATTCCCTTGTCCGCTGTCATCCATCAGGCAGCCATTAACCACCTTTTCCCT